GAGAGAGAGAGAGAGAGAAATAAAATATGAAATAAACGACTATTTTATTCACAGATATAATATGCGAAGAATCCTAGATATCATAACTTATTATTATTGTTCTGACGATAAATATATCTTAATTAATATGACTCTAAAATAACATTATTATAATAGCATTGAGAGTCTAAACAGAGAGTGTAATCAATAAATTAACACAAAAAACAATTACTGGAAAGACTTAACTGGTTTTAACGATAATAAAAATACACTGTATATGAAAAACAATGAATAATCTGATAACAAGATTAGTTGTTCCAGTGATCAGATCTTTGGCTCATTTTTTTATTGCTATAATTTTTTTCGGGTAAAAACCCTTTTTGTTATTTCTATTATAATTTTCGTAACAAATAATATATAAACTGAAGAGAAGAAGAATAAAAATTGTTTCTCCAACTAATAGTGGGCTCCAAATTATTTCACATTACATTTACAACTAATGTCTAATGTTTATGATTTCTGTATTTATTGTTATGGATTATTGTCCCAGTGTTTAAAATTATGGTGAAAATTATTACAACACTCTTTCAGTACACAATCAAATAAATAGAAATATATATTATATCTAAGAGAAAAGTGGAGAAAAAATTGTTTGACTCATTTTAAAGTCCTAATGATGTTTGCAAATAATAGACGAATGTATTTATTGTTTACACAACAGTATTTTTTTGGGGGCAAACATTTTGAGTAGGTTTTGATGTCCACAATTTATCAATAAATGAGTCTTAAATCAGTTGTTAGAAAGTATGGGATTCGTAGTGAACAGTATGTGTGCACTACTATTGCCAGAATATAACGCTAATTCACTTGTATTATACACTCTCTCATAGAGAACCTATATATTGCCTATATTTACGCCTAACTATACTGTAATCAAAACTCATGCCATCTCTCTCTCTCTCTCTCTCTCTCTCATTTTCTATCTAATAATAACGAAAATTCTATCAAAACTACAGTAAAGGAAAAATGTTGCAAATACTACACAAGAGGAGAGAGAGGGAGGGAGAGAGAGAGAGAGAGAGAGAGAGAGAGAGAGAGAGAGAGAGAGAGA